ATAACTGACCCTAATAAGTAAGATTAGTAACCTAAAATATAAAGCTGATAACAAAGGGCAAAGCTAGTAAGGGGCTAAGGGTTCATTTGAACCCCAAAGCAAAATCGACCTGTGGTGCTTGGTCGAAGCTTGATTCACTAGGTAGCTACTCCCTTTTTAGAGAATCGTACGTGATACTTTCGCCTCATACAGACAGAAAATTACACTGCTTAATTATATATATACGTAAAATATAAATTATATTTTACGTATATATAGTAGATGTTGAACTCCCTTCCAACTTCTTTGTATGTCTACTTTTTCATATTTTGAACCATCGTAATGAATGAAAATCCTGGCTCCGCCATTACTGAGATAACCTACAATAAAAATAAAGGAATATAACACCGGCAATACAGTCAATGAGTCTAGTTAACCTCTCTATTTTTATTTTTTTTACTGCTATATGGAAGAAATGTTATTATTGAGAAAATATATCATATAACATAAAGGTCATTTAAAGAAAAAAACTTACGGTTATAATTAAATGTTGTTATAGAGAATGACTGTCACATTGTATGATGGAACAGGTGTTGGTGCAACATACTCGAGGTTGATACCAAGTGTGAAGAAGAAATATGACTATGGAGTTTTGATATTTATATTAACATTCAGTTTAGTAGTAGTATCAGGTGTTAGAGCAGACAAAATAATGAAGTTGGCTGGAGAGAGACTGTCCAACATTGTGATGGGCTTTGCTGTTTGCATATTTACAAGTTTCATATATCCCATTTAAGTTTACTTAAAAGAAATATGGACAATTCATATCCAACTTTAGTAGGTGTTTCATGGTAGATTTCAAATATTTTTCACTCTTTTTTGGAATATATAGAGTTGGAGTTGACATATTTGAAACAATGTTCATGCTTCAATGTAATATTGAAATGCGACTTTAAAAGTGAAAAGTGAGTCGGAAAACAAGTTATAAGTTATTTTCTAAATTTGAAATATAACTTCAAAATTGAATTTGGACTTTTAGGACAAAACACTAACTTTCAAATAAAATAAAATAAAATATTTCAAAAAAAAAGTATTCCTTCTGTGTAAAAAAGAATGACTTGCTTTTCTTTTTAGTATGTTTCAAAAAGATTGACCTTCTTCTTTTTTTGGTAACATTTTAATTTCACCTTTCCACATGACATGTTTAAGGACACAAGATTAAAGGGTAATTTTGTACATTTGACATAACTTTATTTAAGAATCACAAGATTAAAAAAATTTCTTTATTTTCTTAAATTTCGTGTCAAGAAACGGGTCCTTTGGTATTATCAAATTCCTTAAGATAAAAGAAAAAAAGAACAAATACAAATATACAAAGCTATAATTAACTCATGACAAAATATACATAATTAATACTATAATTTTGATAAAATTTCCTAATAGTATCTTAATTATTGCTAGTGGTTTTAAAACGATATAAAGAATTTTTATACTATCAAAATATCTTTTTCCCGATTGCTAATTCAACTTATTATAAACAGTTACATGCAGTTATTTTTAATTAGATCAATAATTTATTTTTTATAGAATAATTAAACTCGTTTATTTAATGTGTTTATTCTAATTAATAATTTCAGGGTGCTTAGAGGAATATTTTGTGATAGCCAATGATAAGGAAAAAAAGGCAACAATTGACATCAGTGGATGCAAATCAGTGATGCACTCCAAGTCTAGTGATGAGTCATTGGTAGAATAATAATAATCAACAATTACTCACTCTATACTAAAGTTAAAATCTTACAAGGAAATCCATTATCTTGGATATATTTTGTTTTTGTTATAATAATTAAAAAATGTGAAATATTTCAGGCAAATTTTGCAAAGTGGGAACCTTGGCATGGAAAATTTGGATTTTTTTATCCATGGGAGAAGTATTTGAATATTGGAGAAGTTTTAAGGGAACTTGCAGCAATGATCATCTCATTTAAAGGATGCATTCAATCAGTCAGACAGGTGAAAAATAAATACTCCAAGATATAATTTATTTTTCATTTTCAAAATAGTATAAAAAAAAAAGGAAAAATTATATGAAATAGCAAATTATTAATTCAAATTAAATGTTATAGCCATAGTTTATTTTAATTGTAATTCGCAGCAAACATCCCATTTTTTTGTCCATTTGATTCGTTATACAATTAGCCATTTTCGGTATACAATTAGCCATTTTATTCATTTCAGTATAAAATGTGTTTATGTTTGTATAAAACCAGAGAAAAGTATATATACAAATACAAATACGTATATTTTAATCCTATACACTTATAATTATACAAATACAGATCTTATTATACAAATTACAATGTATAAATGAATTTATACAAAACAGAACAATTTGTATAAAACAGGATGTTTCTAGCAAATTATACAAATGAAAAGCTCCATAACAAACATAAAATTTGCTATGGATCGCAATTATGCAAACTATAATTATAACATACAATTATGATTTTAAAGTATACTATATGTGAAAGTTGCTCTAGAATAAATAAACAAACATTTTCTCAAAGTTGATGGTATATTTGAACATTTTCCCATTGCATATCTATATGTATAAGTAAATAAATGTTAGTTATTACAACTTTCAAATACATTTAATTTATAAAAATTCATTAATCAACAAAAATAGTGAATAACTTTTCTTTAATGTAATCTTTTCACATATCACATGATGTAGACAATTTCTTCATAGACCATAGTATTTTTTTTTCCAAACCTGATGTTTTTCAAAATAATAAACAATAGAAGAATCTATAGTGTCATTGCTAACACTACTTTCATAGTATGCAATTTTTCAGACTAGGAAAGAAAAGTATGTTTGTCAGAATGATTAAAAAGAAAAAAACTCTCACATAAATTGAAATAAAAGAAATTATGAAGTATCTATCAAAAAAGTATGCTTGACTTGAAGACTTGTTGATTTTGATGTTTTTTATTTTCTTTTAAACTAAATATATTAAATATAAAAGGTATCCTATCAGTTATTCCCAAAAAAATTGCCTTTATTCGCTGTAAAAGGGCAAAGAAATGTTGATTTTAAAAAATGAAATGGAAAAATTAAGAATTACAAAATAAGGGTTTAAAAGAGTTAAAAAGAAAAGTATATAATTATATATAATAGAATAATATCTTCTTTCACGAAAAGATTATGAAAATTGAAGTTATTGGAGATAAAATATCATTTATAAGTGTTCACCAAAAACACATGTCACTCTAAAATCGTAAGACCATGTATGGGGTTGACATCTATCAAGTGTCAAAAAATCAAGAAATTAGTAACCTAATGAAAGGGGAGCCAAATGACTTGATCAATTCAATTAGAAACTCATTGTCTATTTTCTTTATTCAAATCTTTTAACAATACAAAAGAAAATCATTGTTCAACTCTTTGACAATATGAAAAAATCTAAAGCTCTAGCCTTCCTCTCTATCTATATAAGGGATGGAAATGCGAAGGCCTTTGCTATCCCTTCTTTACTATATGTGCGAAGATCTTACAAGACATGTAATATGACCATATGTTTCTTGTTTCAAGTTAATCACTTTATTTCTTTCATATATCAACTCATTTTCATTTATTTGTCGTTAAATTACTCGTAACTAATATAGTTTCTCTTTGATACTACGCAGTCGTCCCCAACGGAAAGAGACAGCATAAGAGAACCATGCGAGAAAATAGGGTTGTCACTAGCAACAATTTTGATGGAACTTGGAGATAGCATAAGAGACATGAAAAGATGTCGTGCCAAAAGTTTGATAACACAATCCATGAGAGAAGAGCTAAGCCTCCTTGTAAACTTAGACAATAATAATAATTCGACTGATAATGAAAGTACTCTTGGATTGGCCAGCTTTATTTTTCAAATTTTAGAGATGGTGGACAAGGTTGAATTGTTGGCTACCAAGGTGGAAGAACTTGGTGAAATTGCTCACTTTCACGACAAGAAACTTGATGTGTGACTATAATGTCTTTGGTAAAGATGTTATATATGCATATACATAATCTGTGTAAATAATTTTTACATTATTAGGTCACTCAAAAGATATATATTTCAAGGTGAGTCTCCTTAAAATGTAAAATCTGTAACATAGATTTACATTTGCAGTGGAAAGAATATTCAAAATACTGTAAGTGTTTCTGAATAATATAAAAGGCACCTTGTGGTCTATAAAACCAGCGAAGCACTTCTATTGTGGTGTTATACATCTAAGTTGTTGCTACCCTTGCAGCCTCTGCTCTTTGTTCCTCTGCAGCCAGAAACGACTCCTAAAGTTGGAGCAACACTTCCAACAACCAACATTTCTCACCCATCGAACATGTACTTAGTGCAGTGCGTCTTGCTCTTTTTGAAACTGATAGTATGTTGGATTGTAACCATGTAACTAGTCCTCCCGGCACCGATTTATTTTGAGAAGGTGCTAGTTGCTTAGAAATTGGACAATGACCAAGTGTGAGTATCAAACCTTAACTATCGATTGTTTTACTTTACTGCATGTGTTATTAAATGCTTAATTCAAAGGTTAGACACAGTCTCCATCTTCACAGGTAATCCAAGGTTCCAGTTTCATATGAATTCCATCTTCACAGGTAATCCAAGTTTCAATTCCATATGAATTCCTAATTTCATATTCTGCAGCTACATCCATCCGAGTAATTAATCCTACAATTTATCTAACAATTCATGGATGAAACGACCACTCATCGCATAACCACTACTATGATTTTGCAGTTGTGGTTGTATTTTTGTGTCCAGTTTTTTAAACTAATTGAACAAAATATTATTTTGAAATCCGGTAAAGGCTTAAGGTTTTATTATTTTGTTCTTAATTTACACTTTTTTGTAGGTTTTACCGAATTCATTCTTATTCTTCACTTTCTTGTCTTTGTTGAGCAAATATTCTGCATCCCAGGTACTCAAACAGTATAGCTAATATTTTATTTTGTAAAAGTAGTTTCAACTCTGTTTTGCATTGTATGATTTTCACACCCTTCTTATTTAATGAGCAATTGATTGTATTGATTACTCTATTTTTTAAGGTTAATTAATGTTGATATATTGAAGTTTTGTGATTGTTTGAGTGTTAGTCGACTGTAATTGATCAACATCAACGTTATTGATTGAATTGACAATATTAGGAGCACTACATTTTCACTATTTTTGATAGTTACTTGAGGAGGCATGTTCTATTTTTAAGATTATTTCTGTAAGTATAGAAACTGGGAACTTTTTCTTATCTCCCTGTTGAGGTTGAATTATTGAAGAACCGGAATCTATGTCGAGTTGATGAGACAATGAAAAGTGGGTCCATGTAAATGATCAAGACCTCGCAAACCGGATGAATTGCTGAGTAAATAGATCAGATTCGGACGCGGCATGTTAAATACTTCGTATAGTGCCCAATAAATTATTGGGGGTTCTTTTCTCTCATGCCTTTCTTCGTTCATGGTTCGATGATTCTAACCGCCGCACCGATCATTCGGGGGGAGGCGAATCGAATGGTCCTTCGACCTTCGTTTGATTTCGACGGCCGACCTAAAAATCCGGTACATTTCATTTTGTTTCTCATCCCAGTCTTTCGCAACACTTCAGGGAGGAAGCGGCATTTTTCCAAAATTCCTTTCTCAACTACGAAAAAGATCGAGAGGGGCTCGAAATCCCCCAAAGAACACCCAGCATGCTGATAGGTATTATGTAATAGAAGGATGGCCTATCCAAGGAAGAAATCACAACCAGAACAGTCACCTGTATGTTAGGTTTTCCCCCGTCTTCCCAAACCAATTTAGCTATTTGAGATGATTTTACGAAAGTTTGGTCATCGGTGGCTAATACCTTCTCGAGACTATCAAACCTTAGTATTCAGTCTGTGATAGTACTGTTGTAACAACTTTACAACCTATGCGTGCAACTCAACATTAGACGCATTATCACCATTATATGATTCTAAGCAGTAACATGATTCCCCATTTAGATTCCTAATAATTAATTAAGTCTTGCATGACAGTTTCTAAGATAACAGCCATTTAATAAGAAATATGGCTTTGATGGTGCCCAACTTCAGACTATATATAGCACCCTTTCAAGATTAGATGTCTTCAGTGCTGAAATTCAATTAGAAATCGTTGAGGTCCAGGGGGTGGGCCTCGGGGCACGGCGCCTCGAGGTTCGGGTGTGTGAGTGTGAGGGGGGGAGGGGAGAGGGGCAAGGTGCCTCGAGGTCCGGGGAGGGGCAAGGCACATCGAGGTTTAAGGGGGAGAGGGGGAGGGATCTGCAACTCTTTGACTTGGCCTTGATCCATGAGGCTTCACCCACAGAGTCGTACCTTGATGTTTAACCCCTAAACCATTCATTCTAAGTATGAGAAGCAAATTTTACGACTCTAACCCTTACGACAAGCTCTAGTTGGTGTTACATTTTTCCTTCTTTGGGGATCGTTTGAACTTCAAAATGCACCTGTTTACCCCTCGAATCAACTCACGTCATTAATAAGGTCGTAACAGACGATTATGAAAATTTTCAGCAAAAAATAAGCTGGATTCCTGAATCACCAAAAAATCAATGGACTAGCACACGAAAATTGATAAAATCTGGTTTTTCCTTCTTTGGGGTTCGTTTGAACTTGAAAATGTGTCATGTTGCCCCTCGGGACAACTCACGCCATTAATAAGGTCGTAATGGAGGTCCATGCAAAATTTCGGCCAAAAACAAGTCGGAATCCTGAATCAGCAAAAATCCATGGATTATGTGCACGAAAATTGGTAAAATTTGGGTTTTCCTTCTTTGGGGCTCGTTTGAACTTGAAAATGCGCCTGCTTGCCCCTCGGGCCTAAGCCACGCCATTAAAAAGGTAGTAACGGACGTCCATGAAAAATTTCGGCCAAAAACAAGTCGGAATCCCGAATCACCAAAAATTCATTGGACTATATAGCACACGATAATCGATAAAATCTAGTTTTTCATCATTTGGAACTCATTTGAACTTGAAAGTGCGCTCGTTTGCCCCTCGAAACCAACTAACACCATTAATAAGGCCGTAACAAACGTCCATGATAAATTTCGTCCAAAAACAAGCCGGAATCTTGAATCACCAAAAATCCATGGACACATGAAAATCGGTAAAATATGGTTTTTCCTGATTTGGTGCTCGTTTGAACTTGAAAATGTGTTTGTTTGCCCCTCGGGAACTACTCACGTCATTAATAAGGTTATAACGGACGTCCATGAAAAATTTTGACAAAAAAAACATGAAATCCTAAATCACCAAAAATCTATAGACTATATATATATATATATATAATTGGTTAAATCTAATTTTTCCTGCTTTGGAGCTTGTTTGAACTTAAAAATACGTATGTTTGCCCCTCGGGACCAACTCACATAATTAATAAGGTCGTAAAAGACGTCAATGAAAAAGTTCGGTAAAAAACAAGCTAGAATCCTGATATAGCACACGAAAATTGGTAATATCTGGTTTATCCTGCTTTGGTGCTTGTTTGAACATGAAAATGCATTTGTTGGCCCCTTCTGAACAACTCACACCATTATTAAAGTCGTAACGAACGTCTATAAAAAAAATCGGCAGAAAACAAGCCGAAATTTTGAATCACCAAAAATCCATGGACTATACACGAAAATCGGTAAAATTAGGTTTTTCTTGCTTTGAGGCTCGTTTGAACTTCAAAATACGCCCGTTTGCCCCTCGGGACCAACTCATACCATTAATAAGGTCGTAACAGACATCCATGAAAATTTTCGACAAAAAACAAGGCGGAATCCTAAATCACCAAGAGTCCATGGACTAACTCGATAAAATTTGGTTTTTTCTGCTTTGAAGGTCGTTTGAACTTGAAATCGCGCTCTTTTCCCCTCGAGACCAACTCACGCCATTAATTAGGTCGTATAAGATAGTAATGGTCGTCCATGAAAATTTTTGGCTAAAACTTAGTCGGAATCCTGAATGACCAAAAATATGTAGACTAGCACACGAAAATCTGGATTTTCCTGCTTTGTGGCTCATTTGAACTTGAAAATGCACTCGTTTGCCTCTTGATACTCACGCCATTAATTAGGTCGTAACGGACGTCCATGATAAATTTCGGCCAAAAACAAGCTGGAATCCTGAATCACCAAAAATTCATGGACTGTAGCACACGAAATTTGGTAAAATCTGGTTTTTCCCGCTTAGGGGCTCATTTGAACTTGAAAATGCTCATGTTTCCCCCTCGAGATAACCTCACGCAATTCATAAGGTCGTAACGGACCTCCATGAAAAATTTCGGCCAAAAACAAGCCAGAATGCTGAATCACCAAAATTCCATGGGCACACAAAAATCAGTAAAATTTGGTTTTTATTTTAATTTGTGGCACATTTGAACTTGAAAATGCGCATGTTTGCCCCTCGGGACCAGCTCACGCCATTAATAGGTCGTAGGACGTCCATGAAAATTATTGGCCAAAAACAAACCGAAATCCTGAATCACCAAAAATCCATTGACTAACACACGAAAATTGGTAAGATGGTTTTTCCTTCTTTGATGCTCGTTTGAATTTGAAAGTGCGCCTGTTTCCCCTCGGGACCAACTCACACCATTAATAAGGTCGTAACGAATATCCATGTTAAATTTTGGCAAAAAACAAGTCAGAATACCGAATCACCAAAATTTCATAGACATAACACACGAAAATCAGTAAAATCTACCTTTTGCTACTTTAAGGCTCGTTTGAACTGAAAAACGCATCTATTTGTCCCTCGGGACCAACTCACACCATTAATAAGGTCATAACGGACATCCATAAAAAAATTTGGCAACAAACAAGCAGTAATTTCAAATCACCAAATATACATGGACTCCGGTTTTTTCTACTTTGGAGCTCGTTTGAAATTGAAAATGCACTTGTTTTCCCCTCGGGACCAACTCACGCCATTAATAAGGTCGTAACGGATGTCCATGAAAAACTTCGGCCCAAAATAAGTTGAAATCCTGAATCACCAAAAATGAATGGACTATATAGCACACGTAAATCAGTAAAATGTGGTTGTTCTTTTTTCGGGCTCGTTGGAACTTGAAAATACGCTTGTTCGCCCCTTGGGACCAACTCACGTCATTAATAAGGTCGTAACGGACGTATATGAAAATTTATGTAAAAAACAAGGTGAAATGTTGAATCACCAAAAATAGCACATGAAAATTGGTAAAATTTGGTTTTTCCTGCTTTGAGGCTCGTTTGAATTTGAAAATTGCGTCCATTTTCCCCTCGAGACCAACTCACGCCATTAATAATGTCCTAACGAACGTCCATGCTAAATTTTGGCCAAAAACAAGTTAGAATTTTGAATCACCAAAAATTGATGAACTATATAGCACACGAAAATTTGTAAAATTTGATTTTTCCTACTCTGGACTTATTTGAACTTGAAAAAAATGTTTGTTTTCCCCTACGGACAACTCACGCAATTAATAAAGCCGTAATGGACGTCCATGAAATATTTCAGTCAAAAACAAGCTTAACTCCCGAATCACCAAAAATCCATGGACTATAGTAGCACACGAAAATTGGTAAAATCTGATTTTTCCTGCTTTGGGGGTCGTTTGAACTTGAAAATGCGTTTGTTTGCCCATCAAGACCAACTCACACCACTACTAAGGTCGTAACAGAAGTCAATGAAAAATTACATTAAAAAACAAGCCGGAATCCTGAATCACCAAAAAAATAGCACATGAAAATTGGCAAAATCTGGTTTTTCCTGTTTTGGGGCTCGTTTAAACTTGAAAATGCGCTTGTTTTTCCCGTGGGACCAACTCACGCCACTAATAAGGTCGTAAAGGATGTCTGAAAAATTCGACAAAAAACAAGCTGGAATCTCGAATCACAAAAAATTCATGGACTATAGTACACGAAAATTTGTAAAATCTGATTTTTCCTGCTTTGGGGCTCGTTTTAACTTGAAAATGCACCTTTTTTCCCCTCGGGATCAACTCAAGCCATTAATAGGGTAGTAACGGACGTTCGTGAAAAAATTTTGGCAAAAAACAAGCCGAAATAATGAATCAACAAATATCCATGGCACACGACAATCGGTAAAATATTGTTTTTCCGACTTTGGAGCTCGTTTGAACTTGAAAATGCGCATGTTTGCTCCTTAGGACCAACTCATGACATTAATAAGGTCGTAACAGACGTCTATGAAAAAATTCAGCCAAAAACAAGCTGGAATCCTAAATCACCAAAAATACATGGACTATAGCACATGAAAATCGGTAAAATCTAGTTTTTCCTGCTTAGGGGCTCGTTTGAACTTGAAAATGCACTCGTTTGCCCCTCGGGACCAACTCACGCCATTAATAAGGTTGTAACGGACGTCCATGAAAAACTTCGGCCAAAAATAAGTCGGAATCCTGAATCACCAAAAATTCATGGACTATAATAACACACGAAAATTAATAAAATCTTATTTTTCTTTTTTGGGCTCGTTTGAACTTGAAAATACGTATGTTTACCCCTCGACACCAACTCACGCCATTAATAAGGTCGTAACGGACGTCCATGAGAAATTTCGGCCAAAAACAAGCTAGAATCCTGAATCACCAAAATTGCATGGTCTATAGCACACGAAAATCGGTAAAATCTGGTTTTTCCTGCTTTGGGGCTCATTTGAACTTGAAAATGTGCCTGTTTTTCTCTCGGGACCAACTCACCCCATTAATAAGGTCATAACGGACGTCCATGAAAAATTTCTGCCAAAAGCAAGTCAAAATCCTGAATCACCAAAAATTCATGGACTATGCACACAAAAAATCGATCAAATCTGGTTTTTCCAACTTTGTGGCTCGTTTGAACTTGAAAATGCACTCGTTTACCCCTCGGGACCAACTCACACTATTAATAAGGTCGTAACGGACGTTTATGAAAAATTTCGGCAAAAAACAAGTCGGAATCCCAAATCACCAAAAAATTCAACCCCGTGCCAGCATAGGTCTCAATATATTAATCTCTTTTGTACCCTGTACTATAGGAAATAGTTCAAATATACCCCTACTGTTATAATTTAGCACATATATACCCCTACTTTTAACGGAGGGACACATGTCAACGTAGGAATCAACTAACTCACCCTTAATTTTAAATATCCAATTCTTTTATAACCCATCCATTTAACACATCACCTCTACTGACCCGGTTTGAACCAATTTTCGTAGTCATCTTCTCTATTAAAAACCTCCACAAAATCAGCATTCTTCATAATTGCTTAATACATCCTCTATCGGACTTCCAAGGATTTGATAGATAAATATTGTTCTCAAGGGACTCCTCTTGCACTTCAGTTATGTTGAGGTGGATAATGCTTCGTTACTTCATTATTATCCACTTTAACAGATGGAACTTCTTTTGGACGGATGCATCATTATTGATTTTAATAGAAGTTTTGATTAAAGAAGATGACTATATTTGAACATGGGTTTGGTTCAAATCGGGTCAGTAGAGGTAATTGGTTAAATGGGTGAGTTTTAAAGGAATTGGGGGTGGGTTATTTGATTCCTAAGCTTATATGTGTCCCTTCGTTAAAATTAGGGGTATATATGTGTCAAAGTATAATGGTAGGGGTATATTTGAACCGAAAGTATAACGAAGGGTATATTTGAACTATTTCCTATAGTACAAGGGTGTTAATATATAATACATCATGAAATAATATGTATCAACCTTCCAAACAATTTGTAAGGCACATATATATTGTGTATACGTACTACGTAGGGGTGTTAATATGATCCCGAATATATGTAATCTGTCCAATATATCCGGAATTTTATGGGTTAGACTCTAAAATAATTTGAATTGGGTTGATCTCAACCCATTCAAATTATGTGGGAATCTCAGCCACCAAAGTCGAAACAAAAACTCCAAGACAATTGTTAGGATCAAATGAAACAAACAAAATGTCAAGAAAGCAACTTGTTGTCCTTGTCCAAACAGGCGGAGGGCTCAATTATTGATCAAACTTACATACATCATCACCAATCCAACTTCTCAGAAAAATCAGAACTTTTTATCACTTTTCTCCATAAGATGATAGATGTGAAGACACCCTTAACATTAGTTCTCATTCTGGCACTATCTTTTGAAGCAGCCAAAGGAATCCCCAACACCAATTTGACACAAGTCCTGTGCAATGGTGCACAATACTTCAAAGATGATCCATTTGCAATAAATCTAGCCTATGTTCTTGCAGAACTAGTTAGCACCACGCCATCGCGTCACGGATATGACTACCACAACATTTCTCCCTACCCCAATGCTTTTGCATATGGACATGCATGCTGCTTGCAACAACAACAACACTACTACTACTTCTCTAACCACACAAGATTGTAAAACTTGTTTGGCTTCAGCTAAAGATAATTTGCTTACTAGTTGTGATGCTCGAATTGGTGGTCGTGTTCTTCTTGTTGATTGTACAATGAGGTATGAACAATACCCTTTGGATGATTAAGCCTTAGAATTAGGCTGTCTGAAAAAAAAGATTCAACATGTACTAGACAACAACATTATCATGAGTAATAATATGATTGCTGCAATTTGACTGATTCCATGAGAATTTGATAAAATAAAGATGCATTACCAACAACTAAATACATTGTAATTGGCTATACAAATTATCGTTGCAATTGGAATAATAATTTACATGGCTAGCGCTGTCGCAATATTTTTCCTCATCCTTCATAGAGCCGACTTCAACTTGCTTGTTCTTTACTATCACAGAGGATCAGTATTTACACACTGAATTTGTCAAACTGTAAAATGTCTCTAAATCTATACAGTTCACGATGCTCTTTACACTTTTGACATATTCGTGAACTGAAGACCTAAATTTTACTCCTGAGTGCTGACAGACTAAAAAGGACTCAGGAAAACAATTCTATGATAAATGTAACTAAATGTGAGGATGTCCTTTTACTTTCAAATTGATCTCGAAGAATGGCACATTCATTTGATACAATGAGCATTGGACACTTTGATTGTTCTGGCTCAAGTTTCCTCTCCAAAGTACAATTTCTAATGGTCGTGAGCTGCAAGGGTACCGGGATGGTGCAACACTTGAATGTTGGAGGAAACATGTTGACATAGTTGAGATGACCTCTCTGCTGTCATTTACTTGAATGCTGGAGGAAACATGTTGACATAGTTGATATGACCTCTCTGCTGTCATTCTGCAGATTGATATCTCTTCTCCTAGATATCATTCCTGTTACATTCAGTAAACTCATATTCCTTAGCCTTTTGATTTGTTAGAGAGCTGTGATAGGACATGAATGACCGTCATATATTCAAACGAGTACCTCAATGACTCTTGGGGTGATAATAAGTCAGGTAATGTCTCCAGGTGACAGCTACCGCCAGTCTTCCAATCTCCACCTCTGTGCATCAAAGTGATTGATTTATTGCTTATCAAGTGACAACAAGAACTAAATATCTACTGAAACAAAGTGTAGGCTGATTTGCATAGATCATTAGCTGATAGTCAAAATGCACATAATTTGCAGCCATTAATCAGTACAAACAATCAGGAACAACGCCAAGTAATAAATTTTCCCTTTATCCACAAGCTTCTACACATTCCATCTCTATAGAAGTTCAATGAAGTATAATCAGTTAATCACGGTAACCAACAAATGTGTTCACCCTCTCAAGGCTCATATAATACATGAAATAGATAAGTACGGAATGAATCTGGGACCTTAGATGAGTCTCAGCTAATCTCCATTTTCACACTTCTAATATGACATACTACAAAAAGGACCTCGAGATTTATTCAAGATGTGTTGGTTGAGGCATAGTTGATTGATAGATCAGAAGTGAGAATTATTTGAAGTGTAACAACAACAAAACAAAACAAAAGGAGAGAAGAATTACCTGAAGTGTACAGGAGAATAAGTACGAAAGAATATTTTAGTCTTGGACATATTCACTTCACGGCCTATCCAATTAACCAATGTTACAATTGACTTCTGAAATGCCGTCTCTACATCCATCGTCATGTTGATCTTTCCGCCTTCTTGGAAATAGCATCCCCTGTCAATGGAAAGAATCAGAGCTCGTAAATCTTCACAGATTGTTGAGTAATTGTACTCCTCTATAGCAACGAATCTTGATAATATGCACTTCAAAGCTTTCATGTTTACACACGATTTAGTGGCGGGAACCAAGACATCCAAATGATTTGAGCGTCAATCAAAATGAGAGACAACTAACCTCCAGTGCACAGCCTTATTAGATTAGTTATCCCAAGGAAAAGGAAAGAATAAAAAGGCAATTATGATGTTAATATAATAAAAAAAGTATTTTATAGTTTGAACTTCGAGAGTAAAAAATAATAAATTAATGTAGAGTAAAATGAAAAAAAACAATTAATTATATTTTGATTTTGTTGATTTACAAGTAATTTTAAATAACTATTTATATTTGTCCTTTAAATAATACAATTGATTTTGTATGAGATTAAGAGCACAAATCTTAATTTAGATTTTTTATAATATGTAATTATTTGACTTTAAATCTAAATTAATCACTATAAGAAAACTGTGAATTACATGAGGATTTTCCTGGGGATTAATATGAAAATCTGTAGGAAACTTATTTTCCTGCAAATTTCCATACTAATCCACAGGAAAATCCCCATGTAATTCACACTTTTCTTGTAGTGAATATTAGTATATTTATTTTAGGACATTACTATTGTTTATTGAAGAATTAGAGAAATAAAGCGAAAAAGAGATAATGAAATACTAAAGATATTATTATTTTTATTGTGTAGTGAAATATATTTAAATTTTTTAAAAATTACAAAGTACTATACATCAAGGGATAAATAAAAGGTGGAGTGGAGGAGTGAGGAGAGAAATGAAAAAGTTGTAAAGACATGGGACCCATAAATTTTAATCTATTAAAATAATCTCTCACATAACTATGACATGGTGTGCCTCAACCACCATAAAAATTTTCGTACTAGTACTATTTTTTAGTACTAAAGAAGAATCATTAAGGCCAAACCAGGTAACAAAAAAAGAAGGCCCACGCAAGTGAGAACCAGTAGTATCCACAGTTCTAAAATCCAACAAGAAGATAAAAAAGTACATAAGCCAAGAACAAAAATGTAGGGCTGAGAGAGAGAAGTTTGGGGAAATGTTGATACTGATGATGTGTGGGGTCTTCAACACAAAGAAAGACAAACATTCAATTCAACAAATAAAAAGAACTGCAATAAACAGGCATTTATGCAGAAAAAAAGGGATTTTTATATTACCCCTTATTGGCTATTGCTTAATATTTGTAACTGAGTTTTTCTGCTACTTTTTGCTCACATCGTAGCAGGGGCGGATCTACATGGCAGTTATGGGGTTCATCATCGAAAAATTACACGGCATATGTAAGGTCAAATTCTATTTTTATGTGTGTATATATTAAAATGAATCCATTAAACACATGTAAAGAGGCTAGCTCAGTGGTAAAGGGGGTTCATGATTTTGCTTGGACATTTTTGGGCTGGAGCTTTATTGTTTTTTTTCCATTTTTTTAATGTTATTTCTCTTTTTCAATATTCATTTGTTCGAATTTCTAAGACACATTATTTTCATTTTTGTATTTTATTATTTTTATCTCTATTGCTCATTTTATTTTTACGTAACTCTCTTTTTATATACTAATTCAAAGGAACTTTTTAAAAAATTGTCAATTATTCTTAAACTTGAAATTGAGATAGAGAAAAAATACTTTAAAGATAAGTTAAACTAAATTTAATCGAACGAATAAATTTGAAAGGCATGATTATTCATCATATTTCTTTCTCATTTTTTTCAGTTCTATTCTAGAGAGACGTAAACTACATTTAAATGATTTATTCATTTTTTTACCAATGAAAAACCTTATAAAATTGAATAAATGAACAAAAATTGGCGATGCCATTTATTTATCCTTTTAATATGCATTATAATATTAGTAACTCAATCCCCACATATTTTAAAGAGTATTAAACAATTTTTAAAGTAACATGATTGAATGAACACTAATTTAATTTATTTTAAAAATTCAAAATAAAGAAAAATAATAAAAAATTAAAGAAAAAAATCACTTTTTTAAAAAAAAATGAATCAATGAAGCACGGTAAAAGTAGGAAGAAACGCTAAATGCGGCATGACAAGGCAAGTTATATTTAATGGATTAAGGATAATTTTTTTCTTTTCCGATCCGTTTTTCTCCATTTTTTTATTTACTTCTTATAAGTTGAACCCCCTCCACAAAAATCCTGGCTCCGCCACTACATCGTAGTATATTTTTTTTTTTTAAAAATGAAAGTGAAATTCAGGTAATCAACCAACTTAACTATTAAGATTTTGTTTTTTTGAAACTTCTCTGCTATTCAAAATTAGAGAAGATGACAAAATTGAACAGATTTGATTCATTAAATTTGTTACTTAAAGCTACACTTACAGTCTTATCAAATAATTAATAAACGTTGTTTGTTATATTTGATGGGGATTGTTGGGAGAAAAAAATTAGCGAGGACTATTTTTTTTGCTATTTTTAATTTATTTCTAAAGTTTGAGCAGTTTTTTGAGGTATAATTTTTTTTTTCTTGTATATTTTTTTTAGTTTATTGCAATTTTTTGTGTCTTATATTTTAGGATTCCATAGAAGCGAATTTTTTATTATAATTTTTGTTATATTTAACGAATATAAATTATTAAATATTTTTTTAAAAGACTACAAATATTACGTATTCTATTTCAATTTATTTGTTTTACATTTTTCAATTCGTTCAAAAGATGTTTCTTTCTTCTTTTTTTTAAGTAATTCTTTAATTTTAACTTTTCATGTGATATATTTAAAACCACAAAATTAAATTTTATATTTAAGTGCAATCTATATATTTTTAGTTTAACATCACAAATTTTTTTAAAAATATATTTTCTAAATATTATACAAATAAATTAAAACGAAGAAAATAGTTTAAAACACAAAATTTTCTTATTCGTTCTTGAGAATTAACACAAGTATTATTCTCGTCTTTTTGGGAAAAAAAAGGCAGAAAAGACAAGGTGGCAAACGAGGAGAACGTGTAGGCCAGCGTGGGGTCGTAGTGACAAAGTGGGCTCAACCGACATCATCTTTTTTTTCGATTACTTAATTAATTGAAATTCACATTAGATAAAGCTGATTCAAAAATAATATTTTCTGTTAAGAATTTTTCATAAAGGGAGAGTCAAAATCGTGATCACTATTTTAAAAAAGAAATACCATTATTCACTACATCATATCATCATCTCATAGTGATCAACAGACATTTCAATACAAGGAAAATAAAAATTATGTTTATATTATCTACTCACGTTCAAAAATAATTTTAAAATATTTTTCATAATAAGACAATTAGTTTAATATAATATGTTGAAACTATATTTAGAATGTAAAAATCTTTAGACTATGACTATATGAGTTGTCTTTGGATTTAAGAATTCTGGACCCATAGAATGTACATAAATTCTAAAGTTACTTGATTTGATTAAAGAATTACTTATTTTTTTGGATAACGAGACTATATTATATCTAGTTAAGGGGTTATAGTAGGTTCATCATTCCTAACCGGACCGTCTTAATGCCTAGGTCACTAAAATCATCGCTTGGGGCTTCATATATTTTGGGGGCCCATTTTTTTTTTAAAAAAACAATCACTTATATATGTTATTTTAAAAAAAAAAATTATATGTACTATGAGTGTTATGATTTCTGCTAAGGAAATTGCATATGAGATGAAAATAAACCTGAATTTCGTAAGAAACAATTTGATGAAAATATGTATAGCGAAATCACAAAGTCCCTTGAAGAATCTTTTAGTGTTTATTGCTTTATATATGTAGGGTAGATCAAACTATTTTTTCACTTCAAAATAGATTCGAACCAATTGAAGCATATGAATATATTTTTGATTTCTTATTTAGTGGTAAAATATTGAGATCACTAGATGACGAGAATTTAAAAATATTGTCTTAACCTTGAACTTTCTTTAACATGTAATAGTTATTATGATATTGATGGTTTAGATTTATTTTTGAATTAAAAGTGTTAAAGAAAATAATACAAGTAGAAGATAATGATCTAACGAAAATACTCAATCAAATAAAAAGACTTGATTCTTTTTCAAATACACACATTGCTTATAGAATAATGTTAACAGTTCATGTAACCGTTACCTCAGCCGAAAGAAGTTTTTAAATCCTCTTTAAGATCAACAATGTCTCATGAATTAGCTATATTACCATTTGAAAAAGAATTATTAAAACAAATTGATTATAAAACAGTACCTAATGACTTCGCATCTAAAATAGCTAGAAAAATAGATTTTAAATAAAAGTATATATGATGGAAAAAATAAAATATTAGGATCTCTCTCTTCAGTTTCGCTTTAGGCCCCCAATGTTGTTCAGTCGGGCCTGATTCCTAAATGGGTTAGTAATTACGGTAAGATTTCCAAAACGAACTAACTTATTACAAATAGAAGGCTAAACTAGTCTAGTAGCGATTACTCTATCCTTGTCTTTAGCAAGCTGGCTTTTGACACTATCTGGAAGGAATTGTAGGATGGTGTTATATCTTGTTAGCTTCGAACCTTGTTTAGCCAAAATATTTGCTACGTAGTTCCCTTCTCTAAAGCTATGGTGGACCACTGGATTTTGCAACCTCTTCAACAATGAACTGCATTCAAGGATAAGGTGATTGAATATGATCTAGCAATTGCAATATATCAATGGAGTATGTTTCAATTTTCAGTGGACTCATCTTGAGGGAGTGAGTCAAAGAAAAACCAACATGAAGGATTTCTAGCTCGGTCATGGTGTGATTTTGGGCCATGCTTTTGTTAAATAAAACTAGTAATCCAATCGCATGTTTGGTTTCTTATGACTCTTCCAATGTCATCTCCCTCACCTGTCGAGTTGAACGCACCATCAACATTAAGTTTTAAGAAGCCAAAGGGAGGATAAAACCACTTCATATGGATTTTAGTTGTTCTCGCCTTATCAGGAGTATTAGAGAGAAGATGAAACTCTAAGACACGATTTTTATTTTTGAAATTATGTTATTACCCTTTCTGTTTAATTTTATTTGTCCAATATTTTTAAACTATATATATATTTCTTTTATTTATTTCTTTTATCATAAAAGA